AAATAATGTTAATAATAAACAACATAATTAAATTGATTTATGAACAAAAGTTTAAAACCATTTTGCAAAAAAATTTTTACTACAAACCAGAGACTTAAATCTCCTCATATAAAATTGGGATTATATACTTTTAAACCTAGCTTGTTGCTAAACCATAAATTATCATGCACATATCGTAGATCATACAGAAGTTTTGAGATATTTTGCTTTCACAACTTAAACGTTGTTTGAAACCAACATATAGCGTTTTTTTTTACTTGCTTCGCGTTAAACAAAAATATCGAATATTTTCATATATGAATTATTAGATATTTTCAAATATATAAATAATTCACGTTTTGATATTGTGCTTTTAATACTAGCTTTTTCACATAGCTTATTTTGAATAAGTTACTTTGTTTAGTTATACATTTTTAAAAAAAATCAATTTACAATCAAAAAGTTAACAAATTGTAATTTTATTTCAAGAAACAAAAAAGCTACAGCTGTTTCCAAAAGGGTGGATAAAAATACAACCTTTTGTAATGTTACTTATAAATGCATTTAAAACTTTAAGTGTGTATATTTTGTAAATAATTGTAAATTATAACTACGCTGTGTAAATGTTATTAAAAAATATTTTTTCGATATCAATTTGATACCAAAATTTATTTGAAGTTTTATTGTAGACATAATTGATTTTGATATTATATAGAAGACAGATTCGATGTTATGTAAAAGAAAGATTTGATATTATATAATAGATAATAACATTTTAGTATCATATAGAAAATACTATCGATATATTAATCATATTGATAGAAGTTAATATTGGATATAGCAGCCGCGGCGCAGTGGTAGTTCACTTGCCTCAGAATCAAAGGATCCGTTGTTCAAACCCCACCCCGTGGTTCAAACCCCATCTGGGCAAGTCTTGCAACATCGGTTAGGAAGAATGCGTGAATTTTTAATTAAATGCTCATCCGCGGTGCTCTGTGATAAGACCGGACTTCTTAGGGCACCTAAATAATATATATATATATATATATATATATATATATATATATATATATATATATATATATATATATATATATATATATATATATACATATATATATATATATATATATATATATATATATATTTATATATATATATATATATATATATATATATATATATATATATATATATATATATATATATATATATATATATATACATATATATATATATATATATATATATATAATCATTTTGAAAATTCATAGTTAAAATCTATAAGAATGTTTGTGGGAATTTTGTTAGGACCTAATGATTTTTTTGGATTCAATTTAAATATAAGAGATTGAATTTCAAGAATATTTGTTGGAGATAATAACAAACTATGTAAATTTGGATGTTTAAGAATATTATTGTTAACGTAAGACGAATGAATATTGGATTTGAGATTAAATGATTCAGAGATTAGAGTCGGGCCAGTTAAATATGTTTCATTTTCTTGGAATCAGTTGGGGGATGATTTATTAAAACTTTTTACATTAATTAGAATGTAAATACCTTTCAAAAGTTTGCAAATATTTTTTACATTTTCTGAGAAAAAAATTTTTAAATGGTTTTTTTTTACTAACTTTAATTAATGTAATTATTATATATTTATATCTTTTAAAATACTTTCAAACTTGTTTTTACTAATTTGATCTTTAGATCTTAATATTTTTTGTTGGAAAAGATAGCGCACTTAAATAGATTTTATGATTCCCTATGTAATTCATTGTTCAAATCGACGCCCGAGGTTTTTGATACTTGTTTTTTTAAGCGGGGGGTAACAATCTAAAATCAATGTTGTTTCAGTAATACACGTTTGAAAACATGTGTTAGTACCATAGGACTTTAAAACATTGTCCCAGTCAATTTTTGATAAATCAGATTTAAATTTTTCTTTATTCAAATTTTTAAAACTCCTGCTATGTAAATTGTGTCTGTGTGGTATAAATAATTTATTGAAATTGAGACAAATACAAATTTGAGGTAAGTGATCAGAAACAGAAGTTGTCAAATTTCCTGAAATAATTTTATTAGCTAATAAACTAGAAAAAATATTATCAATAATTGTAGCAGAATGATCAGTAATTCTAGTCGGCAAACTGATTAAAGGGCGAATATTATAAAAAGAAAATAAGTTTAAAAATTCAGACGTCGCAATGTCATTATTCGATTGCATCAGATCAGTATTAGAATTGTTAAGTAAAAAAAACAGATTTTTTTTTCAGTAGATTTTTTTTGAAGTGAGACAGACATGAAACTATTAAAAGTATTAGTATCCATGCAAAGGTCTCTATAAATGCAGCCAACAACAATATTAGACTTTTTAGAAAAAATATTTTCAGCAAATGTAGATTCTAAACAATTAGGTATGTAAATCATTAAATCATCTTTTCGTTTGTATATTAGTTTTTTTTTTGATAAATATAATAATGTACCTTCACAAGAGGATTTCGTGGATGTGTACTCAATCAATCGGATGAATTAAGGATATTCCTTTTTTAACCTTGTTTCAGTCAGGGCCGGCGCGAGTAGGTGTCACGTGGGAGGGTGCCATTACAACTTTTGCCGACTGAAAAAAAAAAAAAATAAAAAGGTCCTCGTTTTCCAAAATTTGCCGACTGTCATTACGACATTTGCCGACTGTCTAACCTATATCGAAAGGGTCGACATTTAGTAATTCGCTTAAGTCATAATATTTACCAACTATTTCTAATGAAGAAGAAATTTATTCATCAGAATCTAAAACACGAGATGAAACATAATCATTAATTTGATTAGAGACTTTATTTAAATAAAAAGACGGGAAAAGGTTAGTAGACAGAGGTAAATCATCAGTTTTAAGAATTTTATGAGAAGAAAATAGCAATTTAAATTCGTTATCTGGTACATCTGTGTATGGAAAGATACTTTTAATACAGTTTACACAATTCCGCAACGAGCGAATTTTAGTAAACTCTACCTTTCATTTTTCAACTTTATCACATTTCGCGACGTTAGAATTATCTTGTTCTATCTCCACATTTTTTAGTTTTGAGATAAAACGATTTAAAAAACAAAAACTTTAGAAGACGGCGTATAAATTTTTTTTATAACTTATGTTTTTTCCGCAACTTTTTTACTTATAACTTAGGTTTCAATTCAGTAGAAAGACATTATTTTGAGGAACACAACTCTATCATCAACTCAATTTTTTCAGAAAGTGGAGATAGATCAAGATAATTCTAACGTCGCGATTTTGTATGAGTCCAAAATAAACAAATATTACATTGAGATGAGCGGCAACTTTGACTAATTATTTTTTTTTTTTTACAAATAACAGTTTAAAGCCATAGTGGGACCCCAATATTAGAGAGAGAGTTAGAAAAATAAATAGAAAGTAAATAGCTATGTTATTGATAATAATTAAAATAAAATAATAAATAGATTATTACGTATAAATAGGGGAAGTTGGGGTACATTGGATTAAGGGACACAGGTTTACCTACCGTCTTTATGTTTGTTATGGAGATCATGGTTTCAAAAGTTGAAGTTTTTCATTTGGATTATCGATATTTATGCTTCTTTTTAGTAGTTTAGCTTTTCTTTAAAAAACACTCATATCCTAAGAAATTAGAATTAAATTTAATTTGTTATGGCGGGGCACAGTGAATTGGGGTACATTTATTAGGTTGATTCACTATGCCCCATTAATGATCTTAAAGATTAAATTTATTCCTTTTTTAACAAACAAACTACATGAAAATAAATTTATTAGTTTTAAGTTATGAATAATAACATTTGGATAATTTTTTAATTTTTAATATTTTTATATGTTTTGTTATCAATAAAATTTTTATTCACTGTGCCCCAGTACTGGGGCACAGTGAATAAAATTATTCATTATGCACATGGGGCACAGTGAATAAATTTAAAACATGATAAAAAAATAATAGATATAACAACAAAAATAAAAACTATAAAAATTATTTTCTCTTTTAATAAATTGATATTCTTATTTTCTTATTAACTTATTAACTTATCTCTCTTTTTTTATTTTTAGTTTCTTTTTTGCCATATAAATTTATTTATAAACCATAATATAAACACAAATAGTAAGGGCAAAAAGAAGACATAAAAGAAGACTTCTTTAATTTACGTTAAGAAAAATTATTTCTTTAAGGAACATCACAATCTGTTATTTATTTATTTGTAATAAATTACCCTTTAAAGAACTAAATAAACAAATTATTATAAACACTTTAAATATTTTTATAATTTGATCTGTAGATCACTTAATAAAAATCGACTGACTACAAGTTCTTGACAATATAAACTAACTAGCTAATATATAGCCAATACCTTTCTTTTTGCAACAAACTTTTTTAGTCATTTTATTTAACTAAACATGAAATTTTTAACTTTATCAAAACAAAGTCTTAAGTTCTTTTCCATCATTCTGTTGTCTCCCAAGTTCAAGGTGGAAAAAAATAAGGTGGAAAGCGCAAACCCTATTTACACACACACCTCTCTTTTGATGGTGCTATTGACAAGAGTGGAAGCATAACTAATCATCTAGTTATTCATTGCCTCAGCCTTGTAAATATGACTGAATAGGTACTTCTTTAACGAAATTAGAGCGGCGTTTCAATACGCTGGAGACACAGCATGCGCACATAAAGGTAGCAGCGTAAATCAGGATTACATTAATGTAACAACCCCGTTTTAGAAACCAATTTTTCTGCAATTAAATGATTAATTTTTGTCTTGGTTTTAGAACGGTTTTTGTATACTATAATTTGATAAGAATGATATCCTTTAAAATATTATTAGAAAAAAAAAAAATAAAACATACAAAAAGAAGTTTTATTTTATTATATCATTCTATTAGCTCAACATACAAATATAATTGTAAAAAATATATTTCTTTATCTTTATTTCTATGTGTGTGTGTATATTTGTGTATTGATGTGAAAAGAATAAAAATTATAACATTTATAAAAACAATTGAATAAAAAAAATTATTTTACAATATCTAAATCTAAAGATATATTAGCGGTATCAAAACACCAGACAAGCATAGTAATTTGTTTGCGAACCGAATCCCAATCGTCTGTTGTATTTTTTGAAGCAAAATATATAGCCTCTCCGATTCCAGGAAACTTCTCATCTTTGAGTTTAAAGGAGGTGTCGGCGTATACTACGTGGCTATACAAAATATATTTATTGAAACACAACTTTTCATTATTAAAGTCACTTACCCAAGTTTGATTATAAAGAAATCTACTTACGCCACACCAACACGTCTGATAAGATTTTGAACAAGAAAGTTTTTTTCAAAATGTATTATTTTGTCGTTGATTTTTCGAACAACATAAGGACTAAACGAATTATATTGATATATAAATATATATATTTGAATGATTCGTGTGTCATTCAAATGTAAATAAGCACACTTAAGGTTTTAGAAATTTACCTATATTTTGTTACCGGTTATTTGGTAAGGGGTCGTCCATAAAGTGCGTACGCCAAAAATTTAGAAAATACCTCTTCCACCCCCCTATCATGTGTACTTTTAAATCCTTCCCCTAAAAAGTAAATACATACTTTTGATAAGGAGGGGGGGGGTATATATAAGTAGGGGTATATATATAATAGGGTGGTTCTAAAACAACTTTTTTTGAAAATGACTGCTGGCACCCCCTGAATATGTTGTACACAATAAAAAAATGCTGGATTTGAAAAAATTTTGAATAAAAAATATTTTAAGGGGTTGTTACTGACCCTCGAACATTAAATAGGTCCCTTATATTATTAAAAAAAAAGATTTTCAAAAGTATATCATGTTGGGTCTTAAACAAAGCGATATTATATAAAAATTTTAAAAATATTATTCATTTTATAATTAAATTTTTGTTTTCGATTTTAGTAAACAGGAAATTACTTTTTTTTTAACTAAAAACAAAAAATAGAGAATTTAACAAGATTGTTTTATTATATATATATATATATATATATATATATATATATATATATATATATATATATATATATATATATATTTTAAATGAGTATTATCTCGCCACAAAGGCGAGAATAAAATGCTCTATAAAATGTATCAATAACTATTTTTTAATGTATGTATTAAAACTAATAAGATGATCCAATCGTTTTACCTATTCCAAATCATGTGGCATTAAATCACCTTTACGTACTTTCCATCAAAGTGAATTTAAAATATTTGATTTCTAAGTTTGTTTTAATGCGAGCGATTTCTTTTCGGAAGCTTGTGATCGAATCACGGTCAGGTCACGATTTAACTTTTTTTTTTTTTTTAAATTTCTTTTAATGGGGGAATCAAATAACAAGAAAATTTTAGTTAGGGCGGACGTTTTTTATCAGATGCCCCTATTTAGTATGTCCGTAAATAACAAGTCTTAAGCAAGATAAGTAGTATTTAAAACAAAGGCTATAACCTGTTTTTTGCGGGCTCAAAAAAGGAGTTGCCTGAAATACACGTCCGCTTTACAGGTGTATGGCGCGCGTAAGTCTATGTAGACAGAGCCAGTGGATAAGGGGTAGAATGTAAGTAGAAACTATACCCCCTTCCCTATAACAAGCAACCTTTTATGTCAACAAACTATGATTTTTAGTCAGGAAACTTTTCTATTGTTTAGCTGACGAATTATAGACAACGATTATGGACGAGGAGGTGATTTGATTTTTTATATATATATTTTTAAGTTGTTTTTTTATTCAAAATTTATTAACAAGTACTTGTTGTTTGTAACAAAAACAAATAAATTACTAAGAAATTTTTTTAATAGTGCTTACTTACTTTTATATTGACCCCAACCCCTCCCCCATACGCGTTCGTACACTATTTGAAGACTCCACTTACCCTATGAGCGTATGTACTTATGGACTAAATTAAAGTTGAAATACCGGTTGCTGGTATTTATTAAAATACTAGAATATATAATGTAAAAATTCGCATATAAAACAAAATCTTTCAGAGATATTCGGATTCAAAACCTTTTTAATTAATTATTTTTGGTATAATTCTCTATATTAAAATGTTAACGTTAAAAAAAACTTCAAAAGAATAATGAATTATATAAAAAAAATTTTCCGAAATTTAATGGAAAGATTACTTTTTATCAAAAACTAATTAATAAAATCTGTATATAAAAAAATGTTTCTTTTGAGACTAAGGTTATTGTACAAAGTCTTCTATTTGGATAATATTAAAGATTTTACACAAAATATTGAAGATTTAAATTAGTTTTAAAAGCTTGATAGAAGATTAAAAGATTACATTTTTGAAATTAGAAAAATACTATAAAACATGTTTTCGAAAAAGTATAAAAAAACTTTATTGACATGTTACCGGTATATTTTTGTGATTAAACAGTGCAAATTTTGAACTTTTTGCAATATACCGGTAAACACGATGTTATTATACGGATATATATTTATATATCCGGCCGGATATGCCGGATATACCGGATATTGTAAATATTTTACGAGAATAAGCGGACGGGGTTTCTAGAGGCGCTCCTTCCCCCAGTGATCACTTCCTAACTGTTGCCGTGACCAAGATTCTTAAATATTATTTATATTTTAGTCTATCCAGTTTTACTTAGACCATTAAAAATGAATGACGCGGCCTTAGCTATATAATGCTAATCTAAAAGTGAAGCCAAAAAGTTTTGCTTAGTGACGTCAGTCTGTGGCAAAAAAATCGTATTTTAGGTCGAGATTGGTTTTGCATTTATCTCATATTTTTTTGATTAATCTTAATTAGGATATATACAATTGCACAAAAAGATGTAAAAGCGGTACAGATATATTATTTTAAGGATAAGAGTTTGTATTTATTACAATAGTAATTAATAAATAGTTTTTAAGAAATGACAGTAATTACTATATTTAGTCTTTATTAGAATATATATACCGTAAAAATATATTCTATATATTTTTAATAAAAAGAATTTTTTTGAAAAAATTTTATTTCTAGTTTTTTTAAAAATTTTTTTCTAGTTTTTTGCCACAAAGTGACGTCACATTCGCTAAAAGATTTTGGTTTCAACGATTTACGAAAAAAGTCTATCATTTTTAATGGTCTAAGGAACTTAAGGAGTTGGTTTAAAATATCATCTCTTCGTAGGAATTCTTAAAATAGAAGAATTTCACTATGGGTGTAACTAAAGTAGCGTACGCTACCTTAGTTAAACTAAATATAAACTTTTTAGGACGGTTATTTTTAAAATTTTAATAAGCTTTAGGTTGCAAATAATTCATCTATAAATAATGTTACGCAAAAGCGTGAAAGAGAAGGTCAAGATAACAAGGGGAAAAAGAGACAAGAGAGGGATACGATATATACGACTAAGTTTGAAAATAACTAACTTAAAAAATGTTAACTTTTATATAAAACTTATCATTTTTTAAGTTAGTTATTTTCAAACTTAGTCTTATATATCTATAGTAAATGTAGCTTATATATATATATATATATATATATATATATATATATATATATATATATATATATATATATATATATATATATATATATATATATATATATATATACATATATATATATATATATATATATATATATATACATATATATATATATATATATATATATATATATATATATATATATATATATATATATATATATATATATATATATATATATATATATATATATATATATATATATATATATATATATATATATATATATATATATATATATATATATATATATTATACTTTTAACATTTTTAAGTTATTGTAACTGTTATTTTTATTTGTTTTAAAGCCTTTACTTTCTTCTTCAAAAGTTTTCGTTTCTTTTTTTCTTTTTCCAAAATTTAAGAGTGGTTAGTGAATTATAGTGAAAAAATTAGTGAGCAATAGTGATCAAATGTTCATTCATTCAAAAGTTAAATTTGCGCGATTACTATATTATTTTACTATAATACTTAATTTTTACTTTTATTAATTAAATTACTCAAAAACAGTTAATTTCTAATTGTTATAAAAGTATGAACGCTAACGGGATATATGATGTATCCGGCCGGATATCATACCCGGTACACCTCTAATTACAATCATTAATACACACACTTCAAGCATAGACACTTTATATTATTGAAGGATTTATATTGAATACAATCACTTCAAATATAAACCTTTCATATTATTTTTATATTTGTATTTGATTATATTAATTACAAAATGAAAGATTTATATTGGAGATTTTTTTTTTTATCATGACAAAAAAATTTAAAAGCTTACTTTTTTGTTTTTTTGTTTTCAGCATTAAAAAAAATGAAATTCTTACTTTGATAGATCTTTTTCGCTTAAGCTATCGACATACGATTGAAATCTCTCTGCTTTACGAAGGAGTTCCTCTGATTTGGCTTTAGCAAAGTCTTAAAATATTATGCAAAAAAAAATTACTATTTAAAAAATGAATTTAGTTAACATGCGTGAAACTTTTACACTAACCTAACGAAATTCCCTGCTTTGAAAGTATAGTTGCATATGATTGGTTAAATTTATTTAAAAAAAACTTGACTTGATTTACATAATCCACAACAAAAAGAGGAACAATGATTTTATCGGATGCTAATAGTGCAGATCCGAGCATTAATCGACCAATAGTTAAGTGATATTTAAAATTAGGATCAACAAACTTGGTCATCCAATCAAAGCTTTCGTAACGTGTATGATATTGCGCATTTTGAGAGAGCAATGGATAATCAATCTAATATAATAAACAAATTTTTTTCAATAAATATCTTTTAACCAACTCCTATTAAAAATGAAAAAATTACTTACTCTACTAAAATAATAACGAAAGTCACCACTAGCAACGCCATAAAGATGCCACAATGCTTTATAATCGCTTCCTGATGTAATCATATCGTTCCTTGAAATAAAAATTTATGAATAAATAAAAAGGTGGCTAACGTAAAAAAAAATACTTATAAATGTTTTTCACCACTGTTGTATAATATTTATAAAATAATATCTCTAAAGTTTAAACTTCAATTTCAATTTTAAATTTCAAATATATTTAGCAATTTTTTTTCAAAATCCATAATAATAATGTAAAATAAAATCAGCTAAGGTGGTATCAAATCAGCTAGAATGGTACAAAATCAGCTAGGGTGGCACAAAATCAGTGAGCTATTGGTCAGTAACGGATACAGCAATTTTTGGTGTTTAAGATAGCTAACTTCCAGATATGGAGTAAACACCAAACATTTGTTATGTTTATACTTATGTTAAACAATGAAGCTTTGCAAAATATTGCGATGATTGTAGGCTGGGAACAAGAAAGTCCTTAAACTTTATCACCCTCCCCCACCCCAACCCAAATCATCTACATCTCATCTATATCGTTGGCATTTAAAAAAAAAAAAAAAATAGAGAAAGTCTAAAGAAAACTGCTTCTAAAAATGTGTTAACTGAACTTGAAAAATAACAATTGGTTAAATGGTTTGTTATGTTGCCTAAGGGCGATCTTATAAAGTAAGATGATTTAATTAAGGCTGCTTCAGACATTTGGAAACTTGGTAAATTTTCAGACACTCCACAGTTTAAAAAATGGACTTCCAACTGAAAATTGGAACTCTGAATTATTCATTCCATATAAGATGTCCTGAAATAGTTTTTACCCTATTAATCTATTAGAAGAGCAGCAACACCCTTTAATCTATTAGAATAGCCCTTAATCTATTAGAAGAGCAATGGTTCAAGTCAGCAGAATTAGATTTTTTGACAATTTTTAAATTTTTTTAAAAAAGAATGATTTACTTCATATCCTTGATCATCTAGATGCTTTTTACAATATCGATGAGACAAATTTTGATTTGAATCCAAGTATAAAGAGAGTTTATAAATCATTCAGACCTAAAGAAAACAGTAATGTCTGCTATTGCTTTGGAGCTAATGGTTTTATGTTAAAAACCCAGGTTTTTTCAAAAGAAAAGTTTACACAGTGAAGATCTTGGATTTGCTTCTAGAACTGTCAATGGCAATTATTTGTTTACTCAAACTGAATCTAGATGACAAAACTAATGCTCCTTTCAAGATTATATTCAAAGAATTGAAAACAAATTGATGTTGCATTTTCTGTTTTTATATTCTTAGACAGTCATCCAAGCCACATAAATTTTCATTTATTTAAATTATGTAAAGATCGAGGAATTCTCATAGTGAATTCTTAAAATCGATTTAAAATTATCCAAAATTCAACCAATCAGTGATACTCATGTTCTCAATTACATGATGAAAACAAGTTGTTGAAAAGTATCTCTATTCCATTTTATTAGTTTTTATAACTATTTATTGATTTTAAATTTGATGTTATTTCTTTTTTTAACCAATAATGTCGCTTTGATAATTAACTTAACTGAGAATTCCATTATTAATAATGCATATAAAAAGTAATTTAAAGGCTTTAGTAAACATTTTGTGATTTCAACATAAAACCAGAAGTGGTGTAAAAAATAATTTTTCTTTCATTTTTACCACCCTGCACCATTTTATTTCACCCTGCAGCTAAAACTTAATGGTTTTACTTTGGTTCTTTAACATCTGATAATGGCTTTTTTAGCAGTTGTGCAGACTTCTCAATCCAATCTTGATACAAAGTTTTATTTGGATTATCAGCTGAAGCAAGCTATAAAAAATAAAAGGCAAAGTAACAAAATATTTTTGTTTTCAATAAATATTGAACATTGTTTTGATTTTTTCTCTTAAATTGTGAGTATTAATAAAAAACTTAACTGAAACAGTATATCATATGTAATGTAGGTACAGTATGATATGATGTAAGTACATATGATATACTGTAAGTTACTGCATACTATACTGAGTTGAGCTAGGTTACTACTTTTTTCTAACCACTCAACAATTACTGCTTATACTATGACTGGATTCAATTATATAAATTTATATAGTTTGTAACCGTGACAACATTTATTTATGTCCAAGTATAGTACATTAGCAATTTAAGTCAATATAAAAAAATAGAAACACTTGTCTTTATTGAGTAAAAAAAAAAATTAGAAACTATGTGAGCAATTAATTGCACAGCAACATATAAATGATAATTTAGAATACGACTGCAAACTATCATATGAGAATAAAATTTTTAAGTTTAGAGTTATATATCAGACTTTATAGTCAAACAGTAATTTTAGTAGTACTTTAGCCTCGAATTTTAAGTTAATATTTAATACAAATTTTTTTAACTAATTCACTCCCAACAAGGCTGCAAGTAACCAATTATTTTTTTTTTACAAGAAAACAAAAAATATTGTTCAAGAGTAAAAAATTAACAAAAGATTTTAAAAACTGTAAGTGGTGTGATTTAAGAAAACAATAAGACCAAAAGAAATTCAAAAAAATGATGTGAAAAAAAAAAACTAAATAAATAAAAATTTTTATAGCATTAAGGGACAGAAATTACATGGTAAAAACAATAAAAAAAAAAAAAACAATTTGCTGCGTGACAAATGACTTATGGTTGGATTTTGGTTAATGGATCCTGAGATGTTAGTTCATTTGATAAGAAGCAATAGTATACATAAAAAATTGAAAAAAATGCACATACTATGAGGATGAAACAAAGGCACAAGCTAAGGATGAAAAAGAGGCTCGATGTTTGTAGAAAAGTGAAAAATAGACTACTTTATGAAGATAAAACAGAAGCTGAAGCTTAGCAGCTAGAGGACTTTGTTTAGAAGAAAATAAAAAAAAATCATTAGTAGATAAATATGAAATAAATAAATAAATATGAAAACTTTCATACAGTAACAAGAGATTTATAAAGATAGGGATAGAGTAATAAGAGATTTATAGTAATAGGAGTTTTATACATTTTCATTTATACATTATATTATTTATTTACACATATATACCAGTATTAAGAGATTTATAGAGATAGGGAATGAAATATGGAGTAATTGAGATAAATATGGAGTAATTGAGATAAATATGGAGTAATTGAGATAAATATGGAGTAATTGAGATAAATATGGAGTAATTGAGATAAATATGGAGTAATTGAGATAAATATGGAGTAATTGATAAGTGTGATAAAGAGCAAATTTAACAGATGCAAAATTCTTTCTAGATGATAAAAAAATAATAAAAGTTTTTATTAAGACTTGAGTCATTAAGTCAGCAAATAGAGATGTTTATATACTAAAAAAATATATCTAACAAATAAGTATTTGTAAATACTGTTCATTCTACTATATATTTATTTACACAAATTGTATATTTACACAAATTGTATATTTGTATATAATATTACTGTTAATAAGCTTTATGATTCATTTGTTCAGAAAAAATAGTGACAACTTCAGCATAAAACAATGATAACTGGTAATTCTAAGCTATAAACTTTTAAAATTTTTGCCCCTCAATTCAAAAAGTCAAATATAATTAAAAAAATGAAATATATTCAAAATAAAAAGTTAACAAATAAAACCTAAATATTTAATTAGGCTAAACCACTATTCTATTTAGCTAAATAATAAAGCCTATTGACTTTTAACTTAGTGCCACTTTTGTTTTGTTTTGTTTTGATATAATGGTTGATTTTATCACTTGATTGACGCAACATTTGTTGCAAGTATTATGGTGAAGTAAGCAAAAGTAACCCATACATAGAGTGCGAAAAATCCAGCATTCATCATCCTATGCAGGAAACAAAAAAACACAGTTTTGAAAAAAATGCTAATTAACTAAAAACTAGACAATTAAAAACTTTTATAGCATGCAAGGACAGATACAGAAAAAAAATGATTTTGCTTAATGACAAAAGTCAAGTGAGAATGAGTTTTGGTTAATGGAGCTAGAGATCAAAGCTACTTTGAGCTGCCACCATGCTACTTTGAGCTGCTACTTTGAGCTGCCACCATGCTAGTACTTGTAGATAAGTCAAAGAAATGACAGTTTACAAAGACAAGATCAAGCTTAGCAGATAAAGCAAGTCAAAACAATGTTTACAATGTGTTTTTGGACCTTGTTTAAAGGAGAATGAACATTATTAAAAAAACCAATCCAAAAATGACAACAGGAACAAATAAGAAATTTTTAGAGGTAAAGAATGAAATCAGAAGTAAAAAAATGACACTAAATGGAGGATAAAGAGAAGCAACTGTAACAGATGCTAAATTTTCAATTGATTGTATATATGGCTTCTGAAAACCATAGACTCAGTGAGAGGGTTGCTTTTCATTAATATAGCAATCTTGACAGTGTTACAATTATAAGTTGTTACTATAGTTAGACAGTGTTAGGATAGTTATTTGCATAACTGAGTTTTGTTGGAATTAAAATTCACAAGCCACTGCAAGCTTCAATCTGTTACAAAAGTGGATCAGATTCAAGATCAATTGCCTGTTATAAGTGATTGAAAAGTGAAGACTTTTTGTCAAGACAAAAGTGTAAAGTTGAGCCATCAGCAAATAAAAACCAACTTTTCTAGCAAGCAGGAAAAATTCATTCAAGCACTTATTAAATAGTTAGTTCTGGAAAATACTTTTGCAAAACTATGACAGCAACATTGTCTGAAGCACAAGCCATAGAAGAGTTTAATTGAGGTTTGACTTGAGCTGGAGTGATTTGAATGTCTAACAAGGGGTTAATCTGTTTAACTGGAATGACAGCAAAAGCCTGGGCATTAGATTGAAGAGTCAAATTACAAGAAAGGTTCTAGGCAAACAGTTCTGCCTTATCCTTAGGAGAGGTCCCATGAATTAGAGGGAATGTTAGACCTACCTTTATTAATAAAGTTAAAATGGCTGTTAAAGATTTTCCAAAAGTCTCTAGACCCTAACTTCTGAGATAAGCAAGATAACTGAGAATAATGGAGAATAAGATAAGAGATAAGCGAACTGAGAAAAATGGAGCTTAGCATCTGACAGCACCTTTTTACATGGATTTATTGCAATAATAAATAGCTGTTTGTTCTCAAGAGAGTTGTTCTTTTAAGAAAAATGAAAAAAATGATTACAATTAGATTTAGCAGCTCCACAAGATGGTGAAAATCATGGAATAGAATGAGACTTAAATTAGAACCAATGGGAAGAAATAAAAGCTTTCATTCCTGCATGGATCTATGAGGTTATGTAAGCGGTGCATTTATAAGCAGAAATACAAAAGACGTTGACCCAAGGATAGTCATGAAGAAAGTCATGAAAAGAATCCCAGTCAGTTTTAGGGTAGTAGTAAGAGTGATGTGATGGTAGTAGATGCGATGATAGGGTAAGTCAGAAGAAGTAGAAAATGAAAGATTTATAAAGATTATTGCATAGTCAGAACCACTTAAAAGAGAAAAAGGAGAAACTGAACACAATCTAGGGTCAGAGACAAGACACAAATCAAGGAGTGAAAGTAAGTGATTAGGATTGTCTGGAAAATGAATCACAAAGCTAACTATCTTAATAAGAGATGGAGAAACAAAGATGTTATGGATTTTAGTGCCAGTAGGATCAGTGGTGTAAGAGCAGGCCATACATCATTATGAGCATTAAATTCACTAATAAGAACAATATTCGCAGACGGGTAAAGAAAAAAGGGCATGGTCAAGTTAATTAGAAATTTCATCTAAAAGTCTAAAAACTAATTTAAATTTATCAAGTCTGATGAACTTCGAAAAAAGTAGGAACTAGGGTGATCGTAATGATCTTGGACTTAAATAATACTTAAAGTTTATAACAACCAATCAAATTAAAGAATAATAGTTATAAATTCAAGTGATAATTTAAAGTTTAAATTTTTAAGTATATTATTTTAAGTAAAAATTAAAGGAAAAAATGGTTCAACTTTAACTCAGTATAAATTTAGGTTTTAACTCAATAAATGTGAAAGACATTAAGTTAGAACAAAAGTGATTTGTAAATAATTAAATGTGAACTAACAATATTAGTAAATCTAAAAGAGATTACTATATAACAGTTATGTTGCATTAACTACTGTCGACTCTAATATAAACAAAATGAAACTCAATTTCATTTTCATATTTAAAAACTTTTTATTAAACAATTTTTCTAATATCATAATTTTTTTAAATTTAACTTCTAATAAGTATGAACTAAAAAATCAAGTTTATTCAAAGGTTAAAGGATTAAAATACTAAAAAGAATTAAACTTATTCAAAGATTTAAGAATTGAAAAGTATTTGTGATGTGCAAAATAATGAAATGGTCCCAAAAAAAAGAATTCATACATTTTTAGATGCATCAAAAACATTCTTAGCATAATAATCCAAAGCTCGTAAACGAACACTGAAATTACCTGGAAAAAAAAAAGGTAAACTTATTTATTTAAATATTAACTTTTTAAATATAAAGAAATAAACAGTATCAAAAACCTTCAACAGCCATGTCAACATTAATATACAAAACAACATTATTCATGAGAAATTGTCTGTGCTCCTAAAAATATATTATTTAAATTATAACAAAAAAATATTTAAAAATCATCAGTGTTGCTATTATATATTCACTCCCTTGTAGCAGCAGGCTATAAGATAGTCGATGTAGCAACACTTCATGCATGTTTTACAGTAAGAAAATAAAAATAAATTCAGAATGGTTTTTTAAAATAACAATAAATTTAAACATTAGGAATACATATATATATATATATATATATATATATATATATATATATATATATATATATATATATATATATATATATATATATATATATATATATATTTATATATATATATATATATATATATATATATATATATATATATATATATACATATATATATATATATATATATATATATATATATATATATATATATATATATATATATATATATATACATATATATATATATATATATATATATATATATATATATATATATATATATATATATATATATATATATATATATATATATATATATATATATATATATATATATATATATATATATATATAGGTCAGTAGAAAAAAATTATAGTACTACTAGTAAAACCAAAACAAAAAAGAGCTTTTTAGTTTTATTTTACCAAATGTTCAAAACAGTGTCTATGATAATTGTAAACAGTCCTTTTTTCAACCTTTATTTATATACAAATTGTAAACCTTTTTTCAGCTATTTTTCAAACTTTATTATACTCTTCTTCTGATAAGTTTCAAAGTAAATTGATTATGTGATTTTTCTAATTTGACTGACAGATTTTTTTGATTAAAAAATCTAATGGAGATAAATCTGATATGGCTGGTGGCAGAATATTATAATTCTAGATTAAGGAGAATCTGTGATGGTTTGATTATAAAATTGAATAATAAAAACAGTATTAAAAAAACAAAACATTTAAAACTAAAATTGATAAGATCATTTTTTAATGACACTTTATAGAAAATTTTTTTTTAAAGGTTTTTAATAAAAGAGATTATGGTTTTTTTAAGACCCGGGTTGATATACTTTGCATATATTTGTTGATTTGTTGACTTTTGGAGAAATTGGAGAAACTTTTTTTTTTGGAGTTGACTTTTGGAGAAATTATTGTTCTGATATACAAGAGGCAGTGTGAAATCATGTGAATCATGTGATCTAAAATAGATCATGTGACCTATTTTTTAAAAGTAAGTAAAATATATGTGACTTTTTATTTACTTTCAAACAAAATTTCACTTATAAAACCAAAAAGTGTCAAAAACTGTACATGTGTATATACACATGTAAAAACATATGCTTATATATGTAAATACAGTATAAATATAAAACATGTAAAAAAATTAATCCAATAAAAAAAAAAGTGGAAAGATTTTTTTTTAAATACGTAAATAGTTTAAATAAAATTAAATTACTTGTAAAATTTTATGTAACTACTTACATCAGCCCACTCATAAGATCCTAGTACACCTGGTTCCTCTGCACCCCAACTGCATATTTTTATGCTTCTTTGTGGCCTCCAGTCTAACAAAAAACACAAAATCTAATATAAACATAAAATAAAACAAAAACAATTCATATATTAAATTAATCCTCTCATACAAAATGTAATCATTTAAAAAAAAGAAATATTTTTAAACATCTTCACTTCCAACAAGGCTGCAACCAACCACTTAGTTTTGGAAGTTACTAAAAGAGAAAAGATGAAGTTTATAAAGTAAGATAACAATTAACAGACAACTTGAAAGATTGCAAATTATATGAATCAGGAATACAAAATTTTTTTTTTTTTATTCACCTCCTCAAGGCCGAGAAGGCCACTACAGACGAGGAGGCTACTTAATAGTGGTTATAACCCTCTCTCAACTCTATAACTCCGAAACACGAACCTTGATGAACAAGGCCGCTGCGCGGAGAAGCAAGTTGAGCGCGGTACTACCAGGGACGTGGTGGGGATCGAACTCGGAACCTCTCGCTTATGAAGTGAGTGTTTTACCACTACACGACTACCGCATGAACACTACACCACTACTACACCACTACTGCACTTACCACTACACCACTACCAGATGAAGGAAGCAAATTCCAAAGAACTGAACTGTTCGAGGAAAATACTAGATAAATAAGAATTTTTGGAGTGCTTAGTCACAGTAAATTAATTAGACTTAGTTGAATGACAAGTAAAATAAGAATGAATTTTAGTAGATGGCACAAGAGGTGCTAGCTCTTTAGAGCAATGCCCAATATAGCACTTATAGAAAAGAAAAAGAGAAGCAACATTACAACAATATGACAATGGTTGAAGGTTGGCTGCAAGTGAAGGTCCAACTATGTTTACAATGCATCTTTGCACCTTGCCTAAAAAACCTTTCATCATTCAAAGATCTGCTCCATATATGGCTACAGCATTACATAAAAGAATGGATTTGAGATTTACAGAGATAAAGAATAGAATCCTAAGTTAGAAAGTGGTGAGCACAATGAAGAGATGTAATCATAGCAGATGCTAATTTTGCGATAATGATTAGCTGAAAAAAATTGAGTTTTATCTGAGTTAAAGCTCACCAGCCACTGAGAACTACATGCTGTAGCAGAAGTAACATTCTTTTCAAGCTTGAATGCCCTCTCCAAGCAATCAGAGAGTGTCTTATTATCAAGACAAGAATAAATGGTAGTATCATTAGCAAATAAAATTTAAATTTATATTAGCGATCACCCAGAAATACTCACACCTTAAATGTTTGAATTTCTGGGAGATGGCTAATATAAATTAAAAAAAGTATATGGCTAAGAATAGAAAAAGAAAACCTTGAGAAACCCCTTAAGTTACAGGAAATGAAGAAAAGTTTTGTTCATCATGGACAACTTTTATTCTACAATTGGTAAAGAAATGTTATAAAAAGTACGAAGTATTAAAAATTTTAAAAGACAAAAGTAAGACCACTTAAAAGCAAAAACCATTAAAGTAATTGTTTTTGTTTTTTTATTGTTTTTATTATTCAATAGACACACGGATAGGCATACAGGTTTTGGCTTAGGCAGATTGTCTTAATTTGAATACATTTAAAATAGTATAAATATAAATACACTTATTCAAATTTTAATGTTATATTGTTATGATGATATTGTTTAAATGTTAAATTACTTTTTTCTTTTTTGTAGCTTCCTAAAGCACGACCAATTTCCATTATTGCTGCAGTGCCACTTGATGGATCAGCAGCTCCATATATCCATGCATCTCGATGATTACCCAAAAGCACATAACGATCTTAAAAATAACATATTAAATAACATGTAAGGATATGCATACTAAATATAATATAGAATTTTTTTGACAAAAATTTTTTCAATTGTGCACTAAAATGGATAAAACATGAAAATTTTACCAACTACTCAGAAAGTTATACTGATGATTTATAAATATAGTGGCAAAAAATGGCATGAATGGAACAGGCTAAAATTCAAGATGGAGTATGCCGGTATTTTGGATATGTCAAAACCTTAATAAGTATTAATCAGTTAAATAAGTCTTCATAAAAATCTCAGGGAGGCTAAGTCATATCAAACATATTGATAAATATACTTGAAATGACCTGGGTGCAATAATTGAAAAGTTAGTGGCTGTCTTCCTTAATAATACTGCTGATGTTGTGCTGAAGAGTATACTAGAGATTAAAATCTGTTGAACTTTAATCTCTGGTACACTCTTGTTCACAGAAAATTTAAGTTTCATAATTTAAGCTGATATGAACAATTTACAGTGTTGTACAAACTGTTTAAAATTTGCAACAAATTAACTCAATATTTATCAGCTTTAGGAAGATTTATATAGGATGCTAATCACTTGCTTGTAGCTTTCGAACCCAAAATTATTTACTTAATTACAATTACCCAGTTACTTGAGCTAGGTAAAGTTAACATGCTAAAACCAAAGTGTTAGTTTATTAAAGTTGGTAATACATTCAAATGATTATAAACATACACTTGATATGCTGTATACTTCACATGTTCCTCACATTGCACATGTAGTATTTCTTTGCACATGTAGTATTTTGTGAGCAGAGATAGGTCTAGAACACCTCTTATGCAAATCTGACTTGTTTTCAAAAGAAAGAGACCCAAACTCAGAAATTGATGGAAGATATGGCTAATATCCCCTTGATCATGATGTCTGAAATTTGCATCGACCTTACGCATCCCATAATTAAACTCTATTACAAGCCTACACACTTCCAGTCTTGAAACCATCCAACAATGTAATGCGTGGTCATTTTGTGTGAACACCACTATCACCTTTAACTGCAGTGTTGCTTTTTATGGCTCTAAATAATAGTTTTTGCGAAAATATTTGTACAGATTTTTAAACTGTAAACTTGTCTTTCATGAATGCAGTTAAAGTTGATGAACTAAGTTGCGAAAATCAAACCATGTGTCTTTCAAAATTGCCCAAATGATTATTTAAAACAATGAATGGTTTTGATCTATACTTAGATAGTTTGACAAATAATGGTACCATTTTTGTCAAACTATCTAAGTATAAATGAAATGAGAAGTAGGCAGAGACTTGACTTGAGATAAACAGAATGAGCTGGATTTCCTTAATTTTACTCCAATATGCAAACTGTGAATGAATCATTTGCATTATGTGTCAGCTAATGAAAAGCATTAAACATTAATTAATCTTAAGCAAAACACAATTTGACTTATTTGATTCATACTGTAATAAATGATATGCAGAAACAGAAATCTCATTTTTATATCAACAATGCTTTACATAGGATGCAGACAAAATTGCATAAGCGATGCCTAATGTTGCATTTCCAACAGATCCCTGTTCAGGATTAAAAATATTTTAATTTTAATTTTTTTTTCTTTTCTTAAATGTGTTTACTTATTTAAAAGCAGTATTGGAGAGATAATAATATATAATATTATATATTGCAGAGATAATAATATATGATAATGATATGATCAACTAAACTTCTAACTTTGTTCAAGCTCAAAAGTACAAAATACTAAAAAAAAACATATAAAAATATGTACATACTATTTCTTTACATTTACATCACTTTTGTTCAAATTTAACTTTTAACTTTTTAGTTTTTATGGATATCATTGAAAAATGTTGTAGTGCTTACAGTAATTTTACAATTACTGCAAGAACTACAAAATTTTGTAGTGCTTACAGTAATTTTGCTTTAATAACACATCTCTTGCCATTAAGAATTGGAGATAGTTCTCTAAATTTGGTCTTGTACCTTACTCTTGCTTTTGATGCCTTTTCAACAACTGATTTGATATCTAAACTGTATCTCCGAAATAACAAAAATGACAGATATTATTCTTCTAACATTAATAATCTTCTAACATTATTTATTTCTATCTCTTTCTTGACATCTCAGTATTCATAAAAAGTACATTTTCTACACTCAAAACTAACAATATTAAATACATCTTTTAAAACCTTCCATGTCTTGCATAATCATTATTTACTTATTCAAGTTATTTCTTAATTTGCAAATATGTAAACTTATTAATTTTATACATTTTTACTATGTTTGTTTTACTTTATATTGAAAATCATTTCCTTTGAAATAATAACCCAAACTATCAAGATATTACAAAATTACAATAATTGATAATTATTATAACCTGGTTCAATTTCTCCATATATTGTTCCACAATATGTGTATGAAGATTTTGTTTCAAATTTTATGTCTGTTAACAAACTAAAATTTCTACAAAGAAAAATCATTTCATTTTTTATTATAAATTATAATAACAAATACTATATTTAACAAAAAGAAAATAATTTAAAAAAATTAATTATTATTAAATATTAAAAAAAAAGGATTTAAAAAAAAACTAAAAAATTAAAACTATTAATTAAATACAATAAATATTAAAATATTGTAAAACTATGTTTAATATTAAATAAATATTTAATACTAAAATATTAATTTTAATTTTTTTTTTTTAATTAGTATAAAAATACTAATTATATATTGATTACAATATTTGTAAACTTCAAACCTGCCAGATTGCAAAACATATTTTGGCAGTTTGCCAATAAATGAGGCTGGAACAGGAACCGAATCATCTTTAAAATACCTAAAAGATAATAATTTTAAATTATGTTATTTGTGTACACTTATTTATTTTGTTATTTTGCTTAAAAACACTGATGCTAACTAGATAATTCTTTTAATAAAAGTTTTTCGATATCGAGAATGCACCAGCCCAAATCCAAACAATTTTATTGCAAATATTTGTTTATTAAAATTGTGTTATTTATTTAATTTATTTATGTAAAAATAAATAATTATTTTAAACCCTTATTGGATAAGGCAGACAGTCTTATGAATAAGGTTATGAATAAGGCAAACAGCTAACTTTAAGAAAATTTTTTTTTAAGTTTTTAAATTAATATATATATATATATATATATATATATATATATATATATATATATATATATATATATATATATATATATATATATTTATATAATATTTTTGCACACCTATTTCCACTAATTAGTAGCCATTAAACTTCTAAATAATTCACCAAAAAAAAAAAAAAAAAAAAAAAAAAAAAAAAACGAACATTGACAAATAATTGGCAATATAAATATTTCAATGTCTCACCCTTTATTTAACTTGTAACTTATAACCTTTCTGTAGCTAACAAAAAACAGGGTCAAATAATAAATAACACTGTATAACATTATGTTATACAATTAAAATTATTGGTAATACTGCCTTAAACTTGTGTCTCTAAGCAGGAACAATTTTTAAAATCAATTTTTATGTTTGCTTACACTTTTTGCTGTCCATTATTTTATGTTTGCTTACACTTTTGCTGTCACACAATTGCTGCCCATCATCAATAAAATTTACATTATTTATACAAGAGCATCTTATTATGAAAATATTTTTTTGAAAAATTAATTTTTAACTTATGAACTTTAATTAAATTTAGTTTAAATAAAGTTAAAATAAAGTTAAAATAAACTTTTCAATCCATCATTAAAATCATTAAACATGCATTAGAAATTAAGGAAATTAATTTTCCTACCATGATTAGAAAGACAAATAAAAAATAAGAAATTTCAAAGGTCAGAGATTTTCCTTATCCTAATTAAACTGCTTTATCACTGCTGAAAATTTTACCTAAATAATTGGTTTGCGTGATCTTCTGATATGGGTTGTGATGGAATTTTTACATTGCTAAGTGTATTATATTTGGCTTCACTCAATCGAAAATATCCATCTGAAAAATTAAAAAATTTTTATTAAACTTTTTCTCATTATTAATTTCTTATATCATAAAAATTAAAAACTACACTAAAATTGTAAAGAAATATTTCTTTGTTATGTTTAGTTAATTGTTCTACTATCAACTTTCAGTCTAATATTTCAATTAGAATTTATTTGAATCAAACAAACATATTTTAATAAAGTTAAAAAAGTAAGTAAAAAATTCAATAACCAGAAATACATTTTATAAAAACTTTAATAGTAGACTTCTTAAAGTACCATCGGTAAACTACCAGGTGGTTGTTTCAGGTGGAGATTAAAGAAATTATATTAACTAATTTAAAACTAAATGAAAAATTTTTTTTTTAACTGTAATTAAGTTACAAGATTATTTAAGAAAAAAAAAAGATTAAAAAGCAACAAAAAAGATTTAAAAAATAAGATAAATAAAAGGATATAACTTTGCAGAAGTTTTATCACAGTATTAAATTTAGGTGAAACAATAAGAGATCACTAGAGAAGCAACCGTAGTAGTATTTGTACTGAAGCAGGACTAATTACATATACAATGCATTTTTGCGCTTTACCCACAAATAATAAAAAAAAAAAAACATAAAAAAAGAAAGAAAAAAACATTTATGCATAACAAATGTAATTTTAAGAGAAAAAAACTAAAACAATTTCCTTTATCCAAATTAAACAATAAAGTTTTGTTTAATATTGTTATGATATATTAAATATAATTAAAATATATTTCTTTAAAATTATTAACTTCATAATATATAACAATACAAAAACTATAATAACTTTAATATTAATCATATATAAAATAAAATTTTTTTAAAAAAAGTGTTAAAAAAAGTTCAAATTTCAAAGTTGAAAATTAAAATATCTTGACACTAAAATGACATCACAAGTTTATAAATTTTATAAATGCAATATAGTTCCTAAATTTTTTAATATAAAAATAAATAAAATATAAAAACATAAACAAAAAACCTTTTGATGGATATCCTTCTGATAAAGAATCGCCATTGATTCTATTTGCAGTTCCTCTTTGTATAGAGTAATTATTTCCAGTGAAACCATTAGGATATATATCTCCTGGTTTACTATTTTCATAAGGATCTGAAAATATAATTGCAGCAACACCTCCTCGTAATTCAGTCTGAAGAACCTAATATTTTTATTATAAGTTAATAAATCTTAATAATTTTTTGTTATGATACTTTAATTAAATAAAAAATGTATCTAGAGTACTTGGTGGTAAAAAAATATGCACATATATATATATATATATATATATATATATATATATATATATATATATATATATATATTTTTTTTTAACATCTTCGCTTCCAACAAGGCTGCAAGCAACCACTAATTAGTGTTGAAAGTTACTGAAAGAGAAAAGATAAAGATTGTAGAGCAAGATAACGATTGACAGACAACTTAAAAGATTGCAAATTATATTAATCAGGAAAGCAAGATGAAGGAAGCGAATTACAAAGAACTGATGTTCATGGAAAAAAACTAGACAAATAAGAATTTTTGGAGCACTTAGGAACAGTAACACAAAAAGGATGAGACTTAATTAAATGATGAGTAACAGGAGAATGAATTTTAGTAGATGGCACAAGAGACGCTAGCTCTTTAGAGCAGTACCCATTATAGTATTTGTAGAAAAGAGAAAGAGAATCAACATCACGACGATGTGACAGGTTGAAGGTTGGCTGCAAGAGCAGGTCAAACTATGTTTACAAAGCACTTTTGCATCTTGTCTAAAAGAGAAAGGGCATCATTAGAAGATCCGCCTCAGATGTGGCAACAATATTCCATACAAGGCCAGATTTGAGATTTATAGAGGTAGAGAAAAAAATCCAGAGTAAGAAAGTGTCGAGCTCAACAAAGAGATGCAACTTTAGCAGATGCTAATATTGCAACAGATTTGATATAAGGTTTCCAAGAAAGATCAGAAGCAAGAGTTAATCCTAGAAGATGAAGGGTAGATGACTCATCGAGTACATTACCGTTCATAAATATAGGAAGGTCTAAATTATAGCGATAATGATTGGCTGAAAAAAATTGATTTTTATCTGAAATAAAGTTCACCATATATTTATATAAATGTATATAGATATATATATCTATATATATCTATATATATATATATATATATATATCTATATCTATATCTATATATATATATATATATATATATATATATATATATATATATATATATATATATATATATATATATATATATATATATATATATACATAAAAGTAAGCTTCGCACACTCTCTGATCAAACTTTTTTGTTTCCACTTTAACTGTTTTTACATTTTCCCACTTTATTTTATGCAAGTAAAACTTATTATGGGTGGCTATTGCATACTCGTAATGTTTACCCTCATTTAAACATTTTAGATGTTGTTGAGTTTGAGTTCTAATTTGAAGTTCTGTTTTGGCTTTGTATCTCTTTGAATTTCTAATAACAAATTATTAATAGTATTAAGAGAATTTGTATTATTTGATGTCTTACTAATATATATATATATACATATATATATATATATATATATATATATATATATATATATATATATATATATATATATATATATATATACATATATATATATATATATATATATATATATATATATATATATATATATATATATATATATATATATATATATACATATATATATATATATATACATATTTTTTTTTTTTTTTTTTTTTTACATTATTTACCTCCCCAAGGCCCGAGGGGGCCACTACAGTCGAGGAGGCTACTCATTTTTTTGTGTTTTTTTTTTTTTTATTTTTTTGTTGTATTACGTGGTACAACCCTCTCTCAACTCTTTAACTCCGAAACACGAACCTTGACAAGCAAGGCCGCTGCGCGGAGAAACTAAGTTGAGCGCGGTACTTCCAGGGACGTGGTGGGAGTCGAACTCCGAACTTCTCGCTTACAAAGCGAGCGCTCTTACCACTACACCACTGCCGCATATAATATATATATATATATATATATACATATATATATATATATATATATATATATATATATATATATATATATATATATATATATATATATATATATATATATATATATATATATATATATATGTATATCAGTGGCGGATCTACAGTACTGCAGATTAGACGGCCGCCTAAGGAGAAATATTATATTATAAATAAGGTGTATCTTACTTTACATTTTTTTAAAGTCAAAATTTCATTAGGATTTTTTACACGGTTTCGGATTTGAAACCGCAAAAATGAGCGAACGTCTTAAATATATTGGCGAATATATTGATTGGCAAAATGGCTTTTTTATGCATTAGGCGAAATTTTTTTTGCCTAATCAAAGGCAATCTGGAAAATCAGAAATTAACCCTAATTTAGTTAAAATTTGGCCGGTTGGTTTTTATGCCTAAGGCCGCCTGATCTGAGGCGATCTGATCAGAAAACTAAGAAAACTAGACATATTTGCCTGAAACTTGGCCGATTGTGTTAAGTTTAGGCATAAAAAGTCTAGAAATTAAAAAAATTTAAACAATTTCCTTGAAATTTGGCCGATTGGGATATAGTTTACGCATGAAATGTCTGGAAAATAATACTCTTAGCATTTCTTTCTTCAAGTGTCTAATTTAAGCTGTCTAAGATTTTTGATAATTTGTGAATTGCATTCACAAATTATCAATTACCTATTCTGTAAGTTATTATTTGTTTATACTGCTTTATTTACATTAAGTTATTTAATCAGAGGTTTTCATCACATTAGCATTAGTATCAAATTATTCATATTTTGCTAGCAAATCACAAGTTAATCTTACAGATTAACTTGTAAAATAATGTTTCAGTGCGAACTATATATCAAATGCAAAAACTAGTTAGTGGTTTTAGCTATGGATTTATTTACAAGGATTTTAAAGTTAAACAATAAGGCTTTATACAACCATTGTTTTAGTCATCGAATAAATCTAGCAGTGTGTAATTCTTGCAAAGTTCAACTTCTCTGTAATGCTATGAACCATGTAAAAGAGGTTTTCTATTATTTTAATTTTTCTATCAAAAGAAATTCTGCCTTGGCAACAATGATTTTAGAACACTGTCCTGATAAAAAGGAAAAAAAACTTAAAGATGTTAGTTGAACTAAATGGCTTGAAGGAATAGGTGGTTTGGACACATTACAGAAGTTGTATATTCCAATAGTTTATTCCCTTGAAGCTATAAGCAATGACATAAATAAGTTTGGGGCAGACTCCCAAAGAGCTACATCTTTATTGAAATTGGTCACTACCTTTGAATTTATTATTTCCTTGGTTGTGGCTAGAGCTGTTTTTGATAAAAAACATATAGTGACTAAGATTGGAGGGAAAGCTTCAAGATTTTTTCTGATTTTTATTATGAAGATTTGTCAAATCCATTAGCTTTAGATGCAGAGTGTGGTCTTTGGGAGGTATACTGGACTGCTAATTATCCCATTCCAAACAATGTGTCTGATACTATAAAGTTAATTTCATGTATAAAAACTTTTGCCAATATTTTTGTTTGTTTGCAGTTATTAGCAACTTCACCTGTGACATCGTGTTCTTATGAAAGATCTATTTTAAATCTTCACAGATTCAAAACCTGGTCAAGATCAACTATGTCTGGAGATCGTTTGGTTTAACATTGATGTATACACATAGAGATATAGTTCCAGATAATCAAGAAGTTATCAAAAAGTTAATGCAAAGAAATGGCTATGTTTCTGTACAAATAAGTCAAAGTCTTTGTGACGGTTTATTCGTAAACATTTTTACACAATTTTAATAGTTTAAAGACTGTTGACTAAAGCATATAAATCACTTAAAATCTCTGTGAATATGACTTCGTTTTGTCTACTATAATCACTATAATCTATAATCACAAGTTAAATCTTTTAATCACAAGTTAAATATACTTTTAGTGTCAATCTAATTGACACTAAAAGTGTATTGCATTCATTTGTATGTAGGATAAAAACATATATTTTATTGCCTAAAAATACATTTGGCCATAAATATATTTTTCAACCTTAAAATCCAAAATTAGTGAAAATAAAGATTAAAACATTTAAATATATTAGTAAATAAAGAGTTATGGAAAACCTTTCTGGTTGAAACAGTTCAGTACAATATATTATTTATCCTAATTTTTATTTCATTAAATTAGCAGTTTACTTTCTGAGGGGATTTTTGTTTTAGAAAAAATTGTTATATTGTTAAAATTTTTATATTGTTAAAATTGTTATATTGTTAAAATTGTTATGTTGTTATTATTAGTATTATTGTTCAAGGAACTCTCCTGAACAATATTACTAAATAACTAGCACATTTTTATTTTTTGTTGTTCAAAATTGCAACTACGATTTCAGGCTTGTGATTTAGACGGTTTGTGTAAATTTTTAAGTGATTTTTAACAACTGGAATTTTTCTTATCTTAATCCTTAATTACAGAACAGTTTTTATCTTTACTCAATCACTAGGAGGACTTCATCAACATTTAAAGTGTAATTTCAAATCATGAAATATTTTTTAAAAACTTTATAAATGTTTAAAAACAACTTTATTTTATTGTCATAATACTCTTTATCTTTTATGATTAAGTTTCCTGTTAATCAATGAATGAAAATGTGCAAGGAAAAGCAGTTTGCTAATTGATTGTGTATTTTTCTGTCATACACCTTCAGTCGTTCTGCATAAAAAATCGTACATATAAATAGGAAGGAACCTTGACGTGGTTCATGTGCTTTAAACAAATATCTTCCAGACAGATACATTCTCACCTGTTGTACTGTGAGAGATAAATGGTCAGAAACTTGATTTCTTTAGATTTTTTTTTTTGTCTGAATTTATTTATTACTCAATAAATCAAATTTTTTTAAAATGTATTAATAAAATCATAGTTAATCTACTATTTGTTTTCAATGGTTTGAATTCTTTGAATTGGCTAATAAAAATTAGCAAATCAATAAAAAGGGCTGGTGCTAGTTGCCGATACAGATTGTGATATATTTGGCTGATTAAGCTGATGCAGATTAATCTGAACATCACCAAGAATATTCAGATTAATTTTGAATTTCCAAATTCCTTTTTTTATTTTTAGTTGACATCGAGTACATTGTAG